TCAGCCTTGGGAAGGTTCACATCAACTTCTGGACCCTCTCCTTTGAAACCAGGCATACTGAACTTGGGCATTTTTATCTTGGGCATCTTCAGGTGCCAGTCTGGACCATGGACATCCACATCTGGAACATCAATGTCCACTTTGGGGCCTTTGATGTCAACCTCTGGGGCTTTAAGGTCACCTTCTACCTTCGGCAGAGAAATATCTACATCACCCTTCACTTTGGGTCCCTTAAGATGTAAATCAATGTCAGGCATGGAGATCTTGGGGGCTTTGATGTTCATCTCAGGCATTTTGAACTTTGGGCCTTTCAATTTGCCCTCTGGTCCTTCAATCTCAATGTCTGGCCCACTCATGTCCACATTTGGCCCTTTGATGTCTCCTTCCAATTTGGGAACATCTACCTCCACTTCTCCCTTCAGCTTTGGGCTCTTTAAGTGAAGATCAATATCTGGCATGGAGATTTTGGGAGTTTTGAAGTGCATGTCTGGCATCTTGAACTTCGGGCTTTTCCATTTACCTTCTGGGCCTTCCACAGCTACTTCCGGCATGTTGGCATCTAATTTGGGGCCCTTGATATCCAGTTCTGGACTCTTTAGTTCTCCTTCAAGCTTTGGGGCTGAAACATCAATATCTCCTTTGATTTTAGGACCCTTTAAGTTGAAATCAACATCAGGCATGGAAATCTTGGGGGCTTTGAAGTGCATGTCAGGCATCTTAAACTTTGGGCCCTTCAGCTTCCCTTCTGGCCCTTCAATATTCACATCAGGAACTTCAACATCCACCTTTGGTCCTGAGACATCAATGTCAGTCTTAGGCAGGTTCACATCCACTTCTGGACCCTCTCCTTTGAAGCCAGGCATGCTGAACTTGGGCATTTTCATCTTGGGCATCTTCAGGTGCCAGTCTGGACCATGGACATCCACATCTGGAGCACTGATGTCCACTTTGGGGCCTTTGATGTCAACCTCTGGCACTTTCATTTCACCTTCTATCTTGGGCACTGCCACATCCATGTCCCCCTTGACTTTGGGACCTTTCAAATGTAAGTCCACATCAGGCATGGAGATCTTAGGGGCTTTGAAGTGCA